CGCGACGATGACATAAGGTTAGTGGTGATGGAACCCTAAACCGCAATTCCACTGTCAGTGATGACTCTCTCTGTGTTGGTTTTCGATACTAATGCTAGAGTAGTCATTTTTTCCTGCATTCAGAGCGTGAATCATCTGATCTATGCACAGGCCACTAATCAGTGTTTTAAGATACACATTTTCGAATAAATATGTGGACACGTTATGCGCTAATCAAGGCGATGTTTTACTTAAGGACAGTCATTGAATTTACGAAAGATATCCAGGTGGAATTAGTACGAGAATCCATAAATAGAGCTAATAATACCACAATCAGATAGGTGGTATCAAGAGCAAATCCTGTGGACGACAATGCGTTTCGTTTCAATTCGCAGGCCTCCTACACACATTCAATGTGCTGACGTGTTTTGAGCTGATTAGTTAAAATCACTTTCCTTGGTTCATATTTCCTGTTGTCACGACTTCGGCAGTTCATGGGGCATAGAAATCTATTACAAACGTTTCACTACTTTAGCTTATATCTAGGCCTAAAATTAATATATGTCCTCGGGCATATTTAAATTAGCTATTTGTAGGATGTGGGCGTATGAGCCCTAGACCTATCAATATCTCAAACAGTGACTCCCATCGCCTTTACGTCTGAGCTGACAGAGTGTCTGACCGTCAACGTCCTAGTGAGCTAGTGGGTCTTTCACCACCACCATCGCACGGCACTATCACCGTTGTATTTTACTATTGCTAACGGTTTCTAGGCCTGTCAACTAGTGTATGTTATGTGTCGCAGTTTCCATCTGCCACTGCAGTCCTTTAATCAAATCATTTTGCGCTCCATATGTTGCATCTGCATCTTCAGGTAATCCAAACAATGTATTGAATTTGGACACCAGCATAGATTGTGTACATCCTATGCATAAATGAGAAAAGACAAATTACTTGCTTTGATGAGTTGGGACCATAACCATTGATAGACCCTGCGCTGTATGAGTGCTTTTTTTGAGGTGTCCCATGACACCTTGATGACGCTAACTTTTGCAAAATTTGAGCCCAGCTCTTCGTTGGTCACAACTCTAAAAATTCCCAAGTTCAGCTTTTGACAAACTATTAAGATGACAATGTTGGATCAGGATTTGTCAACGCCTAACTGCCTATCCGACTTATGCTTCTCAAGCTGAACATAGATTTACTTTTATTTTATCATT